CAAAGTTATTTACAAATTGTCAAACTCAAAAATTGCAAAGGAATGAAATCATTTGATTGCAGTATTCTAAGTTACATACTTGCAATAGCTTCTTTTACTTATTATCGCCAATTTGAAATATCAATGTGCTTTATTTTCTAAAATGATATCATTGTCGTATAAATTGTCCAGCTTAGTAAGAAAATGGTACTGTAAGATTATTCAATAACAATAATGTGAGTCCAAGAAATATTCATATAAGTGAATTATATATGGAAATTTTCACTGAAATTCAGGTGTACAACAAACTTCGTTATATGCATTAACCTTACCAATTGCTATAATATGGACAGAAAAATATATCAGGAAAACTACGGAAAAAAATTGCCAGAAGGCTATGGAATTTACAGGCCCAGAAGCAGCTCATCATTACCTTGTATGTATTTTGATGTATTTTTGCACTTAATTTTTAGAAGTTATGTTAGAAAAAATCATGCGACACATCTTCATTTAAAAACTCTGCCAAATAATGAGCTAAGATGTCAGAAGTAAGTTCCAATTTTTTTTGCCTTGCCAGTTTGTGTCGAAGAGAAGAGAACGAGGACATGAGGGATAATTAGGAGAGCAAATTGGAGATTAAATTACCACATTAAAAAAGTTTGAACCTAATCCCATTACTCAATTTGAAATTTAATTGCAATAACCTTAATATAGTTCCAAGATGTCAAACTTGATTTGTAGCAAACACCTGCTTTTACCTCTTACTTTAACTATCGTTACAAGCATGGTCCATCTCAAGTCATTGCTATCTCTTACTGCATTTAAAATTATTTTGTTCGCATCTGTTGCGTTTCCTTTTCTATTTATGTGACGTAAAAAAAGTCAAATTTTAGCACTTTTTTTTTTAGATTTGTGACAGATATTAGAAAATATTACTTTCAACTGCATTATTTGCATTGTTAGTTACGAGCAAATCATTGTTCATTTCGAAAATTATTTGACAAAATTAATTGGACAAAATAAATTGGACAAAATTTATTTAGATATTTCTTCTCATGATAAGGATTGTTAAAGAAAGTTAGCTAAAGGAATTGGCTGCCTTGTAAACTATATTCGATATGTACATAGAAAAAATATTTCTATGTACATATCGAACGGATAAGATTTCGCAGTGAATTTTGAAATTATAATTTTTATTTTTCAGACAATTTTCGAAACACCTGCAGGAAACAATGCTTGGAACTTGCAGCGACCACTTAGGCAGCATTAACAGTGCTCAACAATTGGCTAATTGAAAAGAGAAAAACGTCGCAAACTACAAGTCAAGTAAATCTGAAAACGATATGTTTAGGAAATGTTGAAGAAATAAAAAATATCACTGATCTGATTGGTAGCACATATTTGCATAATTGGATTTCTGTATTCGCTAATAATCTGTTATCGTCATCAGTAAACTTTTACCAACATCTTATATTCGTGTCAAAAAACACGAACTTCAACGTCAGTTTCTTTCAAACCAGATAAAGTATAATTTTGGTGCTTGAAGTGAGATAATGTTCGGTAGTATAATTGCAAGTGCAAAACAGGCAAAAGTAAAATTAGTGAGACTCTTCAATGAAGTGGAACGGATAGATCTAATATTATTCGATAAAAACCTGATAAAGGAAGAACTACGAAATGAATACTGGCCTTCTCGCAACAGTTATTAAAAAATGGTTGAAATATATCCAACAAATCATGGTCCGCACAGGAGAAAGAAGTATGCAGAAATGGCGAACGACGACAAAAGTATTTTGAAATTGTTTTTTTTTTTTACAGTATAATTTTGGTGCTAGAGAGAAACTACCGCAACGCTGACCATGTAAAGGACCACTAATAAGTTAGTTCTTTGATGTATAGCTTAAAGTGATAAGGACAAGGGAACAACTGAGAGAGTTTCTCAAAGAAAGAGTTCCTTCAAGTAGCTTATTCCCTAACGGTAGATCTGCCACAGTTGCCATTAATCGCGTTCAGTGGTACCTTAAAGGCTGAAGGAAATTCTGAAGCATTTTCAATGCTACGACACAAGAGATTCTAGACATTCAAAAATTGAACTATGCAATGTCCTGCTTAAAAGAAAATGTTCTACAAGCAATAGCAGACTATACCGAGCACAGGGAAACTATAGAATTTGAAGAAAAATATTATTAGACAAAAAATGGAGAAAGATTTGGGGAGTTGTCCATTATTGAAAAATCGCTTTGCTACGAACAAAGCTGCATAAAACGAAATAACTAGAAGTCAAGTGATGAGGTAATCGAGAAAATGATTGGATAATTAGAATCAATAAATATTTTTGGACACTGAAATGAAAAGTTATTCCAAAATCCAAAAAAAAGACTTGTCCAAAAGAGTTATTCGATCAACATTTGAAACACCTGTGAAATCAGAGAAAGCATTAAGATGGAAAAATTTAACAAGCGTTAATATCTCAATAACATATGAAACAATACAGCAAAAATTTGATCTCTGTATTCAAACAAAAAGTTAATGCAATCAATTCATTTGTGTTTCCAGTCATTCTGTAAGTTTTACCACTTCCAATAATTCTATAAGTAAAAAGCAGTGAATTCTTTTCACGGATAAGATTTTCGATCAAATTCAAAACAATACCTCAAGACACTACTCGTTGATTATCATTATCATCAAAGATGTATGAAAATTCGTAAATACCTTCCAACTCCAAATTATTTAATCGCTTAACTAAAGTTCAGTAATTAACCGAAGTTGAAAACGGAGAAGAAATTGAAGCAAAGGAATCATTAATATATTTCTGTCGCAGAACCAAATCATAGCAAAAAGCTATTTAGTATAATACTAATTTAGTATAATACTTGATAATAGCGATAATAGTTAGAGAGAGAGAGAGAGGGATTGAAATTAAATTTCTATAATTATTATTTTTTGAAAATGGTAAAGAAAAAAAAATTAAACTTACCTCCTTTACATATTCCTGTTCTCCTCTTTGATCATTTCCCGCTTCTTCGGCTACATCGATGGGTTCTAGTTTTTTTTTTTTTTGACCATTTTCGCGGCTTCTGTAATAAACGCGAAACATCTCGAACTCACCGATTTGAACAAGGAGGACAAGAAAGTGGTCAAGAAAAAATTTCTGGAACCCGTTGACAACCAATGGACTCTCGGTAATATTACTGTGATTTAAATTTGGTTATCCGATTGGATCCATTAGACCTATTCGTCCTATTTCGTCCTACCACGTTCATCTATAAAATAAATTATGATTTAATGGCAAATTTAAATTTTAATATTCGATTTCCACAGGAAATTCACCCAATCAATGATTAACCTTTCCTGCCTTTCATGATATAACGATGTTAATGAGGATCATGTGGGAGTGATTCTCTACTTTGATCTGGGCAATAAATCGGTATTTCCAAGAGGCAATCCTATAATCACTGATGAACATAACTTTCATCTAGTACAATTTCAGTTTCCGGTTCTGATTAATTTAAAGTTTCCAATTAATTTTCTAGAAAAAAACCGAAATAAAAGTACGGTTTCATACAATGATTCGAGATCCGCTCGGAATCTACAGGATGCAATCTTTCACAGCAACCTGGAACTCCTAGAAATCCTTGCTCACCAATACTCGGTGGTCCTGGTGATTTTTTGGTCCTGTGATGCTGAGTTGCATTTATGATTAATGGTAAATTTCCATAAATTGACTGATATAAAATTAAACAATAGAAGCTAACCCATTGGTCCAGGTATTCTTTGTAGTCCTGGAGGACCAATAAGAGTTTAATTCCTGGTCTCTCCTGTAATATCTGAGTTGATGGATCAAGTGGTTCTGGTAGGCCAGGTGTTCCATCGGTCTCATTGGTTCCATATCTCCTGGCATTCCAGATATATCATCTAGTCTACCACGCTCTGGCTGACAGTTGGCAGGAAAGTTATTACCAAGAAAAATTCGATACTTATTAGAAAAAGTATCGATTAGCTTTCTCCTTCAATCAAATTTATTGACTGATAAAAATACAACTGAGCAAAAGTTTACTAACTATTGCAGGTAGTCCAGTTCACCTCGGTTACCTTATTGCCTTTTTTTCCCTTTTATGATTTCACTAAAAAAAATTCTGCTCAGAAAATTAATGAATGAGAGAAATGAAAAATCCTAACAAGCACCGGTAACTTGCAAATCACTCCTTCTTCTCCATGCAACATTTAAGTACTGTAATCCAAGAAGGACGGAAAAAAACATTGCTGAATCTAGCCTTGATACCAATTATTCATTAGCATGTTATCAATTAGGTATCAGTAAAATTAGGTATCGATATAACCAGTATTAACAACCTTAATAACAATTAAAATTAAGACAATACAAGATGTAAAGTTCAAATACTACTAAAATTCAAAAATTCATTGCAGCAGAAGTCAAAGTGATTTGATTCGTTCGTTGGGATTTAATTACTTCACAAAAGTGTCAATTGATGGAAAATTAAGTAACTATACATGCACAAATACTTAATAGACTATTTTCATACCTGTTATCATATATGTGCAATAAATGAAAGAATAAAAATATAAATATAAACGAGTAATTAAATAATTTGATTTGATTAAATTAATTTATCATTTGGGAAGAAATTTATGAAAAATTCATATTATCAACCGCAAACAAGCAACTGGTGAAAGAAAAAAAAAACACACTGAAATAATACAGTGAGCATGCTTTCGCATCAATCATCATCATCATTTTACTGTATAACCCTTCTGTAAAAGTCAAACAATCGGTACGATGACCGCTGTTTTTCCGAAATTCGTCATTTTCTGATATTGCTTCCAATAATTGAACCTATTCCAATATTAAAATAACCGAAATTATATGTTCCGTAATAACAGTTTCATAGGCAGGTAAAATTAAATTATCTGTATGTTTGCAAACAATAAACTGGTCATTGATTATTATATATTTGAGATACTTTCAACATTATGACTAATGTCAGTGGTGGTTGACAGTGAGTGATCAAAATCTATTCGTAGTCCATCTATCTCGGCCAACAATTCTCTACCTCGGTCGCTTTCACTCTGCTGATCACGAAAAGTCTAAAAAAGCAATATAAAAAAAAAGGCCAACCACCAAATGTTCACTTTGTTACAATATCAATAAAAAAAACAATTTCGCCATTGAACATTTAACAATACTACAAGGACATACTTGAATTGAGATAAAATACTCACTCACAAATTAATCATTAAGTTATTTACTTAATGCATGAACTGTTTATAGCATTACCATTACTCAAAATTCAGTAAACCTATATTATACAATTCCTCGAAGAGATGGATGTAAACAGAAGTTTTTCCTTATCCTCACCAATATTTCTCAGTACCAAAGATCAACAATCAACTGAAAACCTTTTCGTTCACTATTTGTGAATGAGAAATAACTGAAAAATTAACTGCATTGAAAAAAAGTACATAAGTCAAGAACACTAACAATTATTTATTTATTACCATTTCAGAAGCTTTCATAATTTGTGAAATATCATCGAATTGCTCTTTCGAATATCGATCTTTATAGCATCATACAGTGTAAGCTCATCTTTCAGCTCTTCTATGTTTGAATCATCAAAAATAATTTTATCTTGCACTAATGATGCTGCCCATCTTTCATTCTAAAAAAATGTAGTTCAAAATTACATCACTTAATATTTCAATTTTATTACTGAACAAACAAATTATTTTGCTATTAATTTGCATTCAATTAAATAACTGATTTTTCCAGCATTTTCAAATAGCTTTTTAAAGCTTCCAACCTCACGTCTACGGCCCTCCATATTCCATTCTGAGCTTTCATCTTTGCATGACACAAAAGTGACATTTATAGCATAAAAGACCCAACTACTGTCTAATCATAGGGATTCAAATTTCGGAATATTATGATGCAGTTCTCTTTTCTAATGACCACAAATAATATATACAAGTTCGGTTATAAAGAAAGCTTTCCCTTAATAAACTCATGACCTCCAAAATGGGAAAACCAATTTCAATTTTTTTAACGGTCCCGTTCTTTAAACGCAACTTCATTGAGGTATGACTTTTCGTCAGCTATTCTTCAAAGATCTAGAAAAGTTATACTGAATAACTTATGTTTCTTCAACTGGAAAATAAACTGATCAAGAAACTTATTTATCAAATTCGCATAATGTTTATCAATTAACAAAGGCATCAGCCATGGAACAGTGGGGATAGACATTTGTGAACATACGCTATTTTTATGACGATATGATTCTACCATTTATAATAGCCAGTTTAATTCGTTTCGAGGGCAACTCATACATAGAAATTAATACAAAGAAATACAAGGGAAGGGAGAGATTGAGTTTACATTTCTGCATTTAGTCATTTCAAAATTGACAGAGAAGAATTGAAACTGCTTCTGATTTTCTACTTCTTGTTTAGCATTGTCCACAATCTGTTGAAGTTTTCTCATTTCACCTTGTAATGTTTCATATCGTGTTTTCTCCTTCATGTGATAAGCAATCAGTTCGTCTTCCAATAGGTTCAGTTGATCTTCCACTTGGACCAAGACATCTTCCATTTCCATTTTAAGCATTTCCTCAATATTACTTTGCTGAACAACTCTCAGATTGTAAAATAATGAGCAAAAGATAGAATTATGAAAGATCAAAGATGTCAGAAAAGAAAAATTCATCTGAAATACCTATATGTACATGTGTTGTATCTGAGATGTTCAAATATTCTCTTGTGAAGAGAAACAGTCGGCAAGAATAATTTAACTAACGAAAAGGTTTTGCTTTCTTATCTTTCATCGGACGAGAAACATTCCGCAGCATATCTCAATTCTGTCGCGTAAGTTGAATACATATGCGGTGGCATTGTTTTTTGTGTCTATTTAATTCCGCCAAGCTTCACATTCTATGGAAGTGTTAAATTCCTCTTGATCGTCCACTATAATCAACTTACCGCATTACGGTTCCACCTTCAAAACATATATGGATCACCATTCATAAATGATGACAATAGATCATTCTCAAAATGTTAATTTTTTGACTTCATTTTTTTCATTCATCATTTCAGCATCATTTATATGTATTCTTCATAATGATATTTTCATCCAAGATTGTTTCATTATCATTATCATCACTGCCATGTCTTACGAACAAAGATTTGGGAATGTTACAAATTTGAATATATTCTTCTACGCTTTACTCCTAAAGATCATCTGCCAGGCTAGGATGATGGCAATAAAGTCCTCAAGACGTAAGTTTTGGTGCAGTACCCTTCTCTTGGCTTAATAGGGTCAAATAAGCACCATCTGCCCGGATTTGACCCGAGAATGCTTAGGATGGTTCAAGAGGTTAGCGAGCCCATCCACCCGTGTACACACTTTGTCTGACTCTTCAGTTGAGACATGTCAGGCATGAGACCCTACCGGAGGCATAAATCATTGTCGAAATCTAGTAAGGGCACGTTATCGGAAAACCGAGAGAATTTATTATACATTAAATGCTTAGAATATTTCTAATGATTCATCACTGCATTCATTTACCAATTTACAATCTTTAAAATTATCTCCCATACGTTTCTTTTGTTATCTTTGTCTAACGAAAATTCACATCTTCATTTTAATGACAAAGGATGTCCAATTTGCATGCTAATCTTCCCATCTGATCTTGTTACAATGCTTATTATGTAATTGGATCTTTACAGTTTCCTTTGTATCTAAATGAATACCCTTTTTAACGTTTTATGTAAACCACTCCTACTTCTTTATACATATAAACCTTTTTGGAAACAAACACAAGGTTTTTTGGGCTGGTACTTTTCCATAGTGCTTTTACTTGCCATTGCGTTTGACTCACAGTCGAGCGATTCCCTATTCGTTACTCTTTAATAATCCCACTGATCAGCTCTGTATTATATCAATAAAGCAATAATTTTTACTCTGTATTCTCACAACGTGTATTCGACGTCCTCACAAGGTAACCCTTTAATTAAATTTCTGCTTGATCCTAACTCAAGGCTAAACCTTCTAAATCTAAACGACTCGATGAATAATTTTTTCACAACACACGTAAGTTTCACTTCCGTGACAGAAGTTCCGTACGCACTGCTTTGATAAATTATTTCATAAGCTGTCTAAAAATGATTAAGAATAATTAATTAGCATTATTGAAAGGTCTTAATGGAAACTTTGCTTTTGTCACATTCTGATCTTTGATCTATCTCTTCTTTTTTGCCAAATGATTCCATAACAATAACAATAAGAAATCGCCAAATTCTTTATGATATACTTTGAACAAAAAAATTTCAAAACTAACTGGAATGACCTTTCATCTAACAAAGGCTATAATACCATTTTTCTCATTCTGTGAGTTTCTTTTTTGCTATCATTTTGGTGAATATCTGATGAAAAAAAAAAATAAAATGAGTGAGATACAAGTGAAAAATTTTTCTTGCAATACTAAAATTGCAAAAGGTTGCCCAGAACTTAATAAAATTTTAAGAGAATGAATTATTCATTAAATCGAGCAAACAATTCACAGGCAAAATATGCAATTGAATTCATTCAAATTCAGTTGGACCAAAGAGTTATCTCGCTTAGCGAATACGGTAGGATTAGAGGGTAAAATTCAAAGATAATTGGAATTAAAGAAATGTATACCTTGTGCAATATTGCCCCATTATTAACTTCATCTTAGCACATAATGTTTCAATTATTTAATCCATTTTTCCTGTTATTCTATTTGGAATAAACGATGGTAATTGGCTATTTTGCATATTAAACATTATATCAAAAGGTATGGTAATATTCGATAAGTATTATTGTATTTGTTCATTTAATTTATTAAGTCGATCCATCTAGCAGCACTG